CTCCAAGATTTCATCACTTCCCCTGCCACCAATTCTAAATTCTTCAACTGCTTGCAAACCCCAGTTACAATAGTCTTCCACTGATGAAGATGAAGCCCTCAGTCTCTCAACAAAGTTCTCTAGTTAACCCCAACTCATGTAGCTTCTGAAAACTAATTTCCAACCAACAAGTATGTGTATACATTTTCATCCATCTCAAATTAAATTCATAAATGACGTTTTCAAGTTATTACCTACAGAAAGGAATTTTATGATGAAAGATTACCTAATCATAAATGACGTCTTCACCACGTTGTCCAAATGCTGGTCTGTTGCTAGAGCGCCACCTGGAGAAGATTTCCTTCCCCTTTGTTTGCCACAATTTGTTTGTAGAAAAACAAAAATCTATAGACAACAGTAAACTCTCCTCGGGCAGTGACATGAAAGAAACCTGCAAATGAGAACTGTTTATGAGAAGGCATGTTATTGTGCAGAGTGACTAATAACTCAGCATTTGAGACTAGACAGACATAAGTTGTGATCAGCATGCTCTTGGATACCGATAAGGACCAGCCCCAGTGAGAAACAAAGTGACAGAATTATCAGAATTTATCAAGTTTAATACCAATAAGATCAAATTTGCAATTCAAGGCAAGATTCTTTTTTACAGAAAAAGAAAATGCTAATGAACTATTGCTGTTGTTCCATTTTGAGCAAGTAATTTAAGAGTACTTCAGAAGTTAAAGGCGCAGAGAAGAACACAGACAAGCCTTATCTTCATTTCATTTCTCCCACTCTGTTACAGATCAAATTTTGAAAAGCCTGCTTTCTCTAATAGCTTTTTAATATGGATGTTTACTTGAGTGCTTTCACTTCCCGTGCATACCTCAGCTCAACAAGATGCTCCTAAATCCAAAGGAGAAATTAATTCTACTGGCTTTAATTAAATCTAATTATTGCAGCTTCATAGAAATAAATCTAACAAATGATAATCCAATTATTAGACAAGATAAACATGGAATAATGACAAGGGACCTACTTGATGGCATGCGCCTGACTTTGACTTGAGAGTGAAATGTCGAAAAGCAAAAACTTTGTTCGATAACGAGCTCATATCCTCATATGATCACTTCTTGGCCTATGAAGATGCAAGGAATGTGAGATATCTTAGCCCAATCTTCTCCCCTATTATTCTCATACCTTTACTCCAGGGCAGAACAACTGGAGATGCTCAGAAAAGAAAGTCTTGTGGCAGGAATTGGAGACTCAGACAGCCATAAATATGTATCTGTTGAAGAGAAGTGAGTTCAAGGGACCCTGTGAATTCTCAAATTTCTGATGAATGGCATATTATGGTAACTACGAGATTGGTCTTTTCATTTTTTGGGGGTTGTTTGTGGGGATGGTTCGGAGGAACGGTCTAGTGCTAAGAATATAAAGGTGCCTACATTCAAATATCAAAAACCAAACTTTTTCTTTTTCTATTTCACTAAGGTCAATTGGCAAACCTCTCCACAATCACCTACAAGATCATGTGATGATGTCATTAAATGAGTAATCCTGTAAGCTTCATAGTACAAGGAACAGAGATTGTGGGAGAGTGGGGCAGTACCTTGGAGAGATCTCAGCCCTATGTTTTCTGCTACAGCTTTCATTCTCTCGAAATCTTCAACTTCAACAAATCATAGCATGCAGTGTTCTTGAGTTTGTTGGAAGATGATAGGGTCGTTCTTCCTCTTAGCTTCAGACACTTGTCTAAAGTCATCTCCTTGAGATGAGGAAAGCCTGGACACGGGCCTTCTGGTCATCATTCCTCCCCACTATGGCAAATGAGTAAATCAGATGAGAAGGCGTAAACGTCTAGTTGTGTAATACTTTCTTAACATACCTGAAAATTTTTTGAATTGGAAATGGCATCGTATCAAATAGGAGCACAAACAGGAACTTTGCCTCTAGTAACAAGAACAGACCTCGTCATCCATCATATATTTCTAATTCTTCAAGACATTATTCCATGTTACGAGTAGTACTGGCCCTTTCATCATGTAGAACTCCACACCTGGACGACAAGCTCAGTCTTTCAAGCAAGTAAGATGAGAAGGCAAGCTTCCTCTTAGCTTCAGACTCTTGTCTAAAGTCAGGTCCTTGAGATGAGGAAAATCTGGACACCGGCCTTCTGGTCTTCATTCCTCCCACTCTGGCAAATGAGTAAATCAGATGATAAGGCATGGATGTTATCTATTACAACAATGGGGAAGCAAAATAAATTAGGGAGAGTGCAGACCAATTGTTTGTTTATTGCCCAGTATCTCAAATTTGTGGTATGTATTACTCAAGGAAGGCTGGAGTGTGTTGGCTAACATCAGAAGGGGAGGAAACTCATAAATGACGTTTTCAAGTTATTACGTCGGGAAAGGACTTTTATGATGAAAGATTACCTAATCATGAATGGGCAGTGATGCTTGTTATGTTAGATTGAGATCTGTTTACCGCATTGTCCAAATGGTGGTCTCTTGCTAGAGCTCCACCTTGAGAACATTTCCTTCCCCTTATTTGCTGCAATTTGTTTGTAGAAAAACAAAAATCCATATACAATGGTTGCCTACACAAGTTGCTTTGACCTCCAAACATGGGAAAGTTTCTCAAGTCTGCAAGTACACATCCAACATTTCAAGTCTCATCAAATAGAACTTTGTAGCTGAAGGAATGATTTGTGGGATGGAAAAAAAAAATCATTTGCAGATAAGATATTATATGCATATCTACACAATCATATAGAACAAGCTACTAGTACTAGATAATGAGCAGCAGCTGGACCAGGGAGATGGGGAAAAGGAAAGTTGCCTCCTTTGAACCATGCGACTGGTATAACTTCCTCCATTAATTTTTGAAGAAGAATGGGATGAATGAACACTTTTAGAAAATTGTATGAAAGAAGATGGCATATGTAGGTTTTTATTCTACTTGAATAAATTTACCATGTCAATCTTTTCAGTTGAACAAAACCATTTGGTATGTATGTACTGATTTTTATACTTAGAAAGTACAACAAATAGAAGAACAGCCTTACAAACGTCAAAAGCTCTTCAAATATTCGATTGTCGGAAAAATAAAAATAAAATTTGCACCATGAAATACATGAACTATTCGGAAATTGATTCTCTGAGATTTTTTTTTAAAAGTGTTAGAAAGTACACCTCCAGATCTTCCACAAAAATATCTAATTGAGACTTTCGATTTGACACGTACGGAGATTAAACATCCTAACAATACATAAACGAAATTTAAACAGAGTGTGCCTATGGTTATAAGTCAAAATGAATATGAATTAAATAAATAAAAATGTGCTGAACAACAGAGAGCGAGCATGATCTGGGAAGAAGCATTCGATGCAACTGCAAAGGTTAATTGGATGCAAAATTGATGGCAAATTTGGGGCAATTGACATAAAAATTATTTAAAATGTGTATTTCGGTTTATTTGGATAGTGAATTTCAGTTTTTGTGTTGTATTAGAAGAAAAGCAGTTAAAGCGGTTATTTGAAGTACATACCTAACCTGAGTTTGTTTGTCTCTATGTGAGAGAGAGAGAGAGAGGTCATATCAACATATGATGACTTCATCATTTATCCGGATGCAAGGAATGTGAGATATGTTGTCCCAATGATCTTGTCCCATTTTATTCTGATACCTTTTCTCCAGGCCAGAACAATTGGAGATGTACAGAAAAGAAAGAGATGGCGGTAGACCTTCTTCTGGCAGGAACTGGAGAATCGGACAACTGGAAATATATAGCTCTTGAAGAGAAGTGAGGTGTTGAAGGGCCTCTCCTGGTAGGAATTCCAAACTTTTACACGCAGTAATAGATAGACTTCGAAGAAAAGTAAGGTGTGCAAGTCCCTTTCCATCCAAAGATTTCAGAGTTGATAATGAAGAGATCCTGAGAGTGTGAAGAGTGGTAGGGAGCAGCTGTTGCTTGAGCAACGTCTCCAAGATTTCATCACTTCCCCTGCCACCAATTCTAAATTCTTCAACTGCTTGCAAACCCCAGTTACAATAGTCTTCCACTGATGAAGATGAAGCCCTCAGTCTCTCACAATTATGAATGTAAAAAACTCGGAGGTTAGGAGGCAAACCACCATCTTCTGCAATGGACTCCAGATTTGGAAGATTCCTTATATCCAAATATCTTAGGGCTGTGAGGGTTTGAATGCGTTTAGGTAATGACTTCAACTTCTTGCATCTCTGAACTTCCAATCGAATCAGGTTAGGAGTGGGCAATCCTCCTTGGGGAAAACTCACCAGATTTGGACAGACTTCGATATACAAGGCATTGAGATGACTGAGATTCTCAACCGCCGCTCCTTCATCTTCAATCAAGCTAAGCGATTCCAGATTCTCACAATTCCCAATAATAAGTGTCTTCAATTTGGGAAAAAGGCCTAAGGGGAAGGACCTCATTGAATCACAGCTATTCTCTATCCACAAACAGTCGAGCAATGTTAATTGGTTGGCCAACATCTCATGAGGCAGGAATTCTAATCTCTTACAATTCAATATCCTAAGTGATGTCAACGTAGTGGGTAGGCCATCTTTAGGGAACGACGACAGCGTTGGACAATTTGAGAGAGTTAAACATTGAAGACGACTGATGTTGGGCAAGCACTGTATGTCACCAAAATTTTGAATGTAAAGTTGGCACAGGAGATTTGTTTCTAGTAATGATAATAGACCTGTTTGGCATCCATCTTCTGCAATAAATTTTTCAAGAGAGTTGTAGTTGAGACTAGTACTAGTAGCAGCACTAGCCCTTTGATCATGTAAAACCCCACACCCTTTCACGCGAAGCTTTTTCAAGCAGGGCAAATCACAAGGCAAGCTTCCTCTCAGCTTCGGACATTTTTCTAAAATTAACTTCTGCCCCCCCCTGGAGACGAGGAAAGTCTAGCCCCCCACTTCCCCTTGGTACCCACTCCTCCCACTCTGCCATCTCCTCAAACTCCAGCCTCTCCAGCGATTGAAATGGCTGAAATGGCTGACCATACAACTCAGGACCTAACGTCCTAAGAAATTTCATCTCGCATATGAAGAGCTCCTTAAGAGCAGGTAGCTGTCCAAGCGGTGGCAACTCGAAGCAATAATGACAGCCTACAAGGCGCATAACTTTTATTTTATTGAAGGCAGAGTCTCCCAACCAGTTTGGGAAGCTGGTCCCGCCATAAAGTTTGACGGTCAATTTCTCCAAATTCATGCAAGGTTGGAGCTTGTCAAGTACATCTCTCACCTTTACGGAATGATCGGCATCTTCGGAGACCCATGCCAACTCTAACTCCTTGAGATCTTGTTTGTTCTTCAAATTAGCTTGCAAGGCATCCTTACCATCAACCACATTATTAAGCTTCAAAATTGAAAGCTTTCCTCCAAGATGAGACAACTCCCTCAATTCTCCAATAGTCGACCCAATGGATATCCCCACAACAAAAGTAGTCAATGTTCTCAAACTTTTTAGT